CACTGCAGAAATTACCATAATATAAGCTTCATTGAATAAGCAATGGCTACTCCCCTATCTCCTCCTGTAGTATTTGCATGACAACTCTGGTCTAGTCCTTTGTATAATACTAATTTGCCCTTCTGTTGATATTTGAGTGATACTCAGCTCTTGAAGCTGCAGATCTGCAAATATTCCGGTGCTTAATAAAAATAACGATACACAATACACAAGCAAATTCTCCTTTCATAGTGGAAGTTTATAGTGGTTCTTATAGTGGGGAGGGGCCGTGGCTCAGTGTTGTAGAGCATCTGCTTAGTATACAGAAGGTCCCAGGTTCATTTCCCGGCACCCTCAGTTAAAAGGACCAGGTAGCAGGTGATGTGAAAGGACCTGTGCCTGAGACCCTGGAGATCCACTGCCAGTCTGAGTAGCCAAGACTCACCTTGATGGCCCAATGGTCTGATTCAGTATAAGGAAGCTTCATGTGATCTCAATGAACTTTGAAATTCTCCTCTGTGAATTTTGATCTCAAATATTCTGCAGATATTATTATGGAACAGTCACTGAATATTTAAATAGTATCATTTTATACTGGATTTCACTATTTATTTTGTTGTTGTTTTAATTTTTACATGTAAAGTAATGTTTATCTGGCAACATTTTATCGTTACAATGCAGTAGTACTTATCCAGCATTGATTATCCTGAATGGTCAGTTAACTGGCATCACCTAGATGGCAGACTCCTTCCCCTTGGCTACCCAGTATCTTAGGGTGTGCATGCACCCCACTCCCACCTCTCCAGCAAGCCAGCTTGATGACTCTCATTATTGCTGGATGTCTGACAGCCAATGCTGCCAGCTGACATCATCCTCAGGTGCTGAAATTCTTCCACCTCAGCCTGCCTTGAGCTGTCAGGAGCCAGCTCTCACGGGTAGCTGTCCAGCTTGTCTAACCACTGCATAAGGCATCATCATGGCATTCCCAAAGGTGTGGAGTTTGATTGCTGAGAATTCATCTGGGCAGGGGACAGGGCTGAGCAACAAGCTTGGGTGTCCAATATATTTGCTTAACTGCCTGTCCCCATGCCCCATGAGTGCTAGATAACAACACTTTTACCCTATTTTTATACTTCTTTTTTATTATCTGATGTCTGGCAATATCAAAATAATCCACTGATGTCGACAACGATAAATCTCATAAGTATGCCTCTTTTGGTAAAATGTTGTATTCAAAAGGCAATTTGGAGTTTGGATTCAAAATGTTACATTCCAGATTTGATTAGTGAAAACAGAAATTTCAATCAGGACTCCCCCCCCCCCACACACATATTTGTAAAGATTCATTTTGGTTCTAGTTTAGAAAGAATCTCTTCTTAGCGATGGAAAGAAACTGCAACAAAAAAGTCTGAAATCAAAGACTGGCATGGAGAGATCAGAGCAGTAAAGTAATGCTGTTTCATCTGCTTCCTTTATGCGAGGCAATTCTTCCAACTTATTTCAAACTTGTCTCCCAATTATAACATTTCATGGAATGCTTATTGATGCATCAGCTCTACCTTGGAGCCAAATTAGTGCAGCAGTAATGGAAGCCATGAGCAAGAATTACACATACTATAATCATGTGAGATGGCATATTCACATGTTGAACTAACTTACTGATTGCATACCCACTTAAACCACTCATTACTGGTATGCTAAAACTACATGGGATCTCCTCACATGGTGCATCTACTCATGATGGGACTAATTGGGAATGGTTACATAAAGCAAGCCCATTACTGGGACTGCGCTCACATCTGTTTCAATCCTATACAAAAGCAAACATATTAAGTATGTTTGCAGATTACTTCCAAGCTTCTTTTTGCCCAAACTATAGGATGGTACATCAGGAACCAAAGATATATGTTACAATCTGCAACTGGCTCCAGAGAACAAACATACTTTTCAACATTAATGAAGGTCATCAATGGGTGAATGCAGAGGCCCACTGGCAGTGAACAAATGGCGCGTTCCATACTTTTCTCCTACAAATGACCATGACCTTGATGCAATTTTTAACAACTGGAAGCAACTTTGGTTTTAGTTGAATGTACTATAATCTTAGTATATTATCATTTAAAGACGTGATAATTATATCCCTTGAAAAAGGTTTAAATACCTGTTTAAAATATAATTTATGTAATTGTTTGAAATTTAACTGCAGTTTAGGATTTGAAAATTCTGTTACAAAGAATTTTAGTAACACATGCTGTGAAACCTATAATTTAAAGATTAGTCTGCTATAAGGAGTCAACAGAATGTGTGGCACACTTGCATCACTGACTTTCTTATAATTAGTTTCAGATTTAGAGTATTCTGGAAGCAAAAAAGCCCAAACAAGCTGTGCTTTGAGAAGAGTGCTTTGGCAGTAATCCATCAAGCACTCTCCCTTACCAAATCTAGTAAATAACTGTTGAAATGAACCCAGACTGAACAGTAATATCATTTAGTACATGGAAATCCAAAGGATGGTCTAGCCAAAGTTAATCACTCATGCTCAATATAATTGAAGATGATTACAGAAAATAACAGAGTCTGCTGAAATCTCTGCCATTGAACTGGGGGGGGGCTATAGTGAATTGAGTGGGTGTTAAAGGGCTTAATTTTGCTTCAGTTGAACATACGTTATTTGGTGTAATACTGGTGTATATCCATTTAGTCCAATACGTTATGCATGACTTTCTTTAAAATACCCCCACACTGCCCCAAATGAAACTAGAATCTCTTGTACTTACAATGGAAAATCTGAGAGCTCCAAAGACTCAATATAAAATCACAGTCCATCATCCTCTTTCAGAACATAGCATCTTAATCCGAATAATATCAAAAAGGTTGAAAAGTTATCATCAGTTCATGATGCATGACATACACTAATAAATCATTTAGTCTACAAGATCTTTAATGATCAGTGTGCAAAAGAAACCATCACACCTCATAGGCCATAAAAGTGTTCTTGAATGAATACCTCTTTATATCCCTACAGTGCTCCCTTAGCAACATGCACTTAGCAATATTTATTTTCAGTAGGGAATAAATGGCTCTCTTAGTTTGGAAGAATGACTCTAATAAAACAATAAACAGGAAAACAGTATGTGGTGGTCATGATAAAAAAACACCCCTCCTTAAAGCTCTGAAGCACACATGGATATTCATTTGTGTTATGGTTTCCCCATCATTTTCAATGAATGGTGTAATGTCCCAGGTGCAAGTGGAGCATCTCTGGGTACAAAATGAATGGAAGAGCCCTATGAACATACCAGTGTCCCCAGATGCAAGAGATAACATAATCCACAATAACAAGGCATGAGAATACTGGCATATACTGAGACAGTGGGACGGAGTTCAACAAGAGGGTTCTTTCTTTCTTTCTTTTTTTTTAAGGGAAAGGATAAAAGTATTCTAAATAAATAAAAGGGATGTACGAATTTGAGAGTGTATTTTATGGGTTCTTATATCTGGGTCTTTGACTACTGCAACATGTGTGCATGTTGAGGATGGTATAGTGAGACAAACAGAAGTGCTAGAGAGCCAGCATGATATAGTGGGTTGCGTGTCGGACTATGATCTTTCAGACCCAGGTTTGAATCCCCACTGTGCCATGGAAACTTGCTGGGTGACCTTGGACCAGTCACACACTCTCAGCCTAACCTACTTTACAGTGACAATAAAATCGACAGGGGAAATTGTTGGAAGTCACTTTGGATTTCCAGTGGGGAGAAAAGAAATAAATGAAAATAAAAGCATTTCCCAATATTATCACAGCTAAAATGTTACATGTACAGTATACACATTGTCAAAAACAATGGTCACAGAATGAACAAATAAAAGGAGAATGAAAAGAGAACCATGACCAGGAGACACAAAGGATGAAGTGTATGTTCTACTTAAATCTAGGGATGCCAGCTTCCAGGTGAGACCTGGTGATCCCCCAGAATTACAGCTCATATCCAGACTACAGAGATTAGTTCCACTGGAGAAAACAGATGTGTTAGAGGTTGGACTCCATGGCATTGTAGCCCAACAAGGTAGGTCCCTGTCCTCCCCAGGCTCCATCTACATATCTCCAGGAATTTCCAGGCCTCAATCTGGCAAAAACCGCCCCCCCCATCCCTACCTGTGACCAGAGGGGACCTGGCAGCCCAACTTAAATCACATTGGCCTGAAGACTGGTGCTGCCCTCCTTCTTTTTCCTTGATAGACCTCTTTAGTCTTTAGGCTTCCTGCAGAAATTCCTGAAATGTTTTACTGAATTTGCTTCAACCTTTGTTTTATGTGAAATACAGGACATGTGTGAGGATTTCTTTTCACAAACATGTAGTTAGCTGTGTCCTTTCAAAATGCAAGTAATTAACTATGGAACAATGGTACACACAACGTTTTAATCTACAGTTTGCAAAATATTGCATAATGGAGGAATAATAAGTTTAAAAATTTTGAATTGGCACTTACTGGAATTACAGTTAATCCTGATACAGTCTAGATGGGGAAGAATAGATGAGAAATGAAAATTTATCCTTCAAAGTAATAGCTGCAGACATCCAATAAAATCACAGTCCACCCTTCCGGGGACAGACACATGCAAACATGGCCACTGTGTGTTATTATTCTTTCCGTATTGCCGTATAACGCAGATATATGGTGATAAAACTTTATAAATAGAAGTGATAGTATAGGGTAAAAAAAATATGGCCAATTTCAAACAAAGCTACATGGTGACAAATCTAAGTGGAGAAAAAAGATTGTGGGAAACTGTTCCAGATGCTGGATTTTAGTCGGCTGCCACTTTCTCCCCCATGTATGAAAGAACAGACTGATCTTCATTTGAATTCAAAAGTGCTCCGTCACAATGGGGAATAGAGCAAACCAAGCCAAAAACCACATGTTCTGGACCAGTTAATGCCTCAAAGGCAGATACAATTGTAAATATGTACAAATATCCCCAACTACCATACTTTAAATTATCTCCCAATGTCTACAATGTTCTTAGCCCAGCTTCAAGCATTGAATAAACATCAGGACAGTGATTCCACTGTTACATCTAGAAATGTTTCTTTTAATTGGAAATTATAGGGAATCGTGACTATGGCTCTTTTTTATGCTTTCCCTTCAGTAAGAGCTATATTTTTTCACTGTCATAATTAATTTGATTTCTAATAAAAGAGCGAAGTATGTCTTTAATGCCTGTGGTATTTAGAAAAAGAGACTGCCTTGTATTATGTTTTATCTGGGCAAATTAAAAGTTGATGTTCAAATTATGTGTATTTTCAGTTATTCCTCTATTACATTCATTTGAAGATCACCAATAATATATATACACACACACACATAATTATATATATATATATTAAAAAAATAGAACCTAGATTATGTTTCCATGTAGCTGAGTTTGTCATGTGTCGTCAACCGCATCAGAAAAGTGGTAGCAAACAGCCAGGGAACATCACCTACATGCCTCATTCTACAGAAAGCTTTCTTGCAAGAGCCCCCTCTCTTGCCCACCACAACACAGCCTTTGTCTGTTGAAACAATGCATCTGATTGCAATTATTCTAAATTTTCACTAGAGGGCTCTCTGTGAAGCACAAGAAGATTGGAAGTTCCTTATTTGATATATGCATGAATTCCCAACTCCAAAATCTAATTAACATCATCCAAATTCATTGACCTTGCTTTCATCAAAAAATGATGTTAAATATATTAATCTAGCCTACTACTTTGTTGTTGTTGTTGTTGCAATTTAAAAGTGAAATTACCTCATAACTAGTTTTGAATGTGGTATACAAAAGGTCCTGAAAATAAAGCAAGAAGGAAGTTGTTCTGGTAAACCTGCATTAGGTACCTCCATGAAAACCAACCCTGATCATTTGTAATTGTTGTGAAAACCTAGGAAAGCATGATTTTATTTCTGTAGAAGAGCTTATGTTGTTTGTGTTCACATGGCTGTTTGCCGAGGGCCGCAGTCTTTGGGCATTGAAGGGTTGTGTTATTTGTGACACACAAAAAATCACTATGAAGTTTGTGCATTAAAAATAAAGGAAAAGAAGAAAGAAAGGGAGAAGAAGAAAGAGAAGAGCGGGGGCAGAGAGAGGGGGGGATGGATTTGATTGCGTATAATGCCAGGCTGCTATAAAGAGAAGACCAAAGTAAATAAGAGACAATTTCGACTTGTAATTGTTATAAAATTTTGCATATGCATATTTTGCACGCTAAGCTAAAATGAAGTATTATAAAGAGACGGAGAAGTTATCAGTTTTAATATTCACAGTTTGTTCTAATGACACACCAGCAATCACACTAAGCAAAAAACAGTGCTCATATGAACAACCTACTCTCTCTGTCTCACACACACACATTCTGAATTCACTCTGCTTATGTGATTAGGCTCCTCAGATGAGCAGGTTTTTTGTACTCAGCTGCCAGAGTATTATCTGGGCAGACTCCCCTAGAACCTAATCCAATACTCCAATCTAGACATGAAGCTCCGCTGGGCAACAGTTTCGGCACCAATTTCGTAGTTGGGAGCAGTTTGCACCTACAACATAGAGACACAGGCAGAACTTTCCCAGCATTAAAACAGAGATTACACATGCATGTTTGTCCTCCCATGTGCACAAGGAGCCATTGAACAGGAAAATATATCTGTTTCCAAAAAGCACGTGGAAATGTTCACAACTGAAATCCCCTTGGTTATTTGAGAGTTATGCACAATTATGAATTAACGCCCCTGACATTCTGGTCTTCTCTTATTATAACAACCCACAGTTTAAAATTAATTGTGGTGTGTTATGGTGGAGAATAAAGATTTTTTAAAAATAATAAGTTATGGACTTTTAAATATATATAATGCACATACATATATATGCACACAGGTTACATATATATGTCACTTTATTTGTCAGTGGCAAACAGGCCGTTGAATAGATGTTTGCAGGCAAAGATAAAGAGGAATGGCCAAGATGTTAATTTTAGGGTAGGGATGGGGGGGATGTTACCTAGGTTGACTGTTAGCTTAACTCGTCCTGCATCCAGCTCTAAACGCAGCGTGTCAGCAGATTCCCTAGAAGTCGTGGCCATTAAAATGCCATAAGCCCGCTGAGACCTGAACCGTAATGACACATCTTCTGCTTCAGTGTGCATCACCACGGGGAGTTGTATTTTCATAAACATGCTTCCATCATAGCTCAGAACTGTTGCCTCTGAAAACATACAAGCAGAAAGAAGTATTAGAAGAGGGACACACGTGTTGACTTTTACACGTCAAAGGGTGCAGAGTGAATGCAAGACCCACATCAGAATGTGTTGTTGAACTGGGGCTGCAGAATGGCAATACCTTTCAAAAGTTTCAGGTATCGGCCTTTCATCTGATTTCCCACCTTCAGCTCCAGTTGCCCACTGGCACTCTGGTGGTCAGTGGGAGAAAACAAAATCCTTATTGGCATGATGGCAGTAAGTTTCTATACACTTGTCAGGGATGCTCTAGGGCTGATCCTGCATTGAGCAAGGTTTTGGACTAGATAGCCTATATGGCCCATTCCAACTTTATGATTCTATGATTACATCACTTCTAGGGAAAATCCAGAAATGCTGTCATTCTGCTCTAGGAATTGCGAGGAAAGCCATGGTTTTACCATAGAGTTTATGACAGTTCAAGTGGTGTGACATCACTTACAGTTTTTTCTGGGAAGTGATGTAACACTATTGCCGGTGTTTATGTTCATTATTTTAAAACTGAAAGCACAAGTGTTGTGACTCTATGTGATTGATTGCAACAGGTCTGCACTGCTAAATGCAACTCCCTACCTTGCCCTGTCCATCCAACACACAGCTGGACACATTTTGTACGTGGGGAAGGGGCGTGCAGTGACAAGCAAGTTTTTGTGCAACTGGGCTTATGGTGTTTCATACAGAGCAAGAGTGATGTGGATCCAACCTTCCTCTAAGGCGCTTCCTCCACAGGATTGCCAAGAAGCTTGAAGAAAAATGACATTTTAATAGAGATGTAAAGTAAAGGTGAAGGTTCCCTTGCTCGAAAGCCAGTCGAGTCCGACTCTAGGGTTGCGGTGCTCATCTCCTTTTCAAAGCCGAAGAGCCAGCGCTGTCCGAAGACGTTTCCGTGGTCATGTGGCCGGCATGACTAAACACCAAGGCGCACGGAACACCTTCCCACCTAAGTGGTACCTATTTATCTACTTGCAATTTCTTGCTTTCAAACTGCTAGATTGGCAGGAGCTAGAACTAGAGACGGGAGCTCACTCCGTCATGCGGCAACCCAGGTCTCGAACTGCTGAACTACTGACCTTCCACAGCCTGCAGTTCAGCGTCTTAACCACTTGAGCCACCGCAGAGATGTAATGGGATGTTATTTATTAGGTGATGTTACTTACTTCCATTCCATGTGTGGAGAAATACATATTTGGAGGTTTGGAGTATACAAAACCTATACCTTTTTTATCCCCCCCATTAGCAGAGAACAGGAGAGGCGTGTGTGTGTGTGTGTGGGTCAACTGTTTTCCAGCTGCACCCAACCAGTCTTTAGAAATACAAATGGCAGGCCTATCCAGATACAATGAAGTGGTCAGCTCACACTTTCTGCAATTCCACCCAGACACGTAGCCAAGAACAGAGTCTGGAGGTTGAAAATCCTACAGAAGTTGTTTCCTGGAGACTTGAGGAAAAGCTTCTTTGACCTAACCTGTCCTGGGGGATATTAAAACACCTTGGCATAAGGAAGAAGATCTCCTTTTCTGTGGATTCTATTAAAGCAGACAGAGCTTTCAGCTGGGGCCTGCTGAAGGCAGCCATTTCTATGTGGAAGACTGCAGACCAGGGCAGAGGCTAGGGTTCCCAAGTACCTATCTACGATCCCGTGGGGGACACAATCTTCCCCGTCGGAAGATTCTTGCTTGGAACACAGGCGCTGCACTATTCCGTCGCCCGGCTACATGCCTACGTCACGTCTGGGTGATGGAATAGTGCAGCGCCTGTGTTTTTCCTGCGGGAATGGTCCCGCGAAGAACAATACATCCCCCGCCGAATTAAGGTAAGTACTTGGGAGCCCTGGTAGAGGCTCCAAGGTAACGGAGACTCTTTAGAACCACTGTAACTTTTAAGTTAAGGACCCTACCTTGGGGTAACATCAGCTAGAGCATATACAATGGGAAGGACAGAGGAATTCAGTTTTTATACTTTTCTTTTGGATCCCTTGCTCTATCTCCTGTTGTGCTGAGACTATGCATGTGGCCATTTTCTTTTTACTAAATTTATTATCACTTTGAATGCTGGTAACTGTTTTCTGTCCCACTGAGACCTCCATCATTTTGGACATGCTATTTTAAAATGAGCACCAGGAGAAAGGGAGAGGCAGTCAGCTGGCAAGTTGTCACTACCCCAGTGCTGCACAAGTGCAGTAAATTGTCCCCATGGTAACCTGATGCTGGGTTAGTGGGAGACACAAGCACAAGGTGAGGTCTTAAAATGGTAATGCAAGGAAGGAAAGCTGGGAGCTCTAGTCCTCTCAGAGGGTAGTTTCTACAAAGGCTAGGTGATGGCAGAGGTTGAACTGAAGGACAGAGAGAAAAGTCTCTCCCTGGGTTGGGAAAGCCAGGTGGGTGGTGCATGCCAGGCAGAGACCTTGGGCAGCCACTGGTACCTAGATCCTCAAAGGGCAAGTTGGAAGAGGGCTGTTCCACCACACCATGAAAAGTGTCAGCTGCCCATCTTCTCAATTAAAACAAGGCATTTCCCCCCCCCCCCATTTTTTCTTCCAGCCTAAGGAGCCTTTCTTTAACTTAAGGGGCCCTTACACTAGAGAAAAAATAATCTGCCTCATTATTTCCTAAATATATGAGAAAAAGAAAGGGTCAACGAAATAAAAGTACTGGAAAAGAATCCTACCACTCTACTTTAACAGCTGTGGAGCCCATCCCCTCTTCCTTCGCCAGAGAAGACTCTTCCTCTGGTGGAAGGCTCCACAGTTAGCTTGGCAGAGAGGCAGGATAGAACCCTTTTCCCCTTCTGACTTTTCCCCTTCCTCCTCTTCTCCCCTCTCACAAACAAACATAAGGAACAGTTGTACTTGGCTAGTGGGCTGCACTGTATTTGGTGGGTCACAGAAGTGGTGCGGGCCTGAGGCTCAGTGCGGTGTAGAAGGAAGAGAGTTGCCAGAAATGGATTATGTACAAGCTAAGTAAGCTGCTCAAGGTCCTTGGGTTGTACAGGGCTTCTAAATGCAAACAAATTACTAAACATGACTCTCTCTCTCTCTCTGTGTGTGTGTGTGTGTGTGTGTGTGTGTGTGTATATGGCCAGGGTCCGGCATACCTGAGGGACCGCCTTTCCCCACATAGGCCCCAAAGAGCACTTCGGTCGGGGTCACAATACCGCTTAGTGACCCCGGGCCCTAAAGAGGCCAGGCTTGCTGCCACAAGGGCCAGGTCTTTTTTGGTGGCGGCTCCTATCTGGTGGAACAAGCTCCCGGAGGAGATCAGGGCCCTGTGGGACCTGTTACAGTTCCGCAGGGCCTGTAAGACGGAGCTCTTCCGCCAGGCTTTTGAGTAGGAGCCACCACTGCCACTACCACCAATGGGCGACTGCAAAGCAGTACCGCTGGGTTAGGCTGACTGGCCATTTGAACATCGGGGCCATAGCATCCCCCTCTTTGACTCAATGTGATGTACAATAGGGAGCGAGTATGTTAGCCGCGGTAGATTTTTGGGAGTTTCCCACTGTAATTAATTGTTTTGAATTGTTTTAACTGTATTTTATTGCACTGTGTGCCTTAATTGTGTAACTGTGGTGTTGTATTACACCTATGTCTTGTAAGCCGCCCTGAGCCCGCATGCGGGGAGGGCGGGATATAAATGCAATTAAATAAATTATATATATACACACACACACACACACACACACACACACACATGGTATGGCACTTCTTATTGGGGAGACCAAAGAAACTGGGATCCAGATTCCTATTTGTGCACACACCAATACAGCACCATGCCAACTTTCACAGTAGTCTGATAATGGTAGGACAGCAATGTTGATCCACAATGCAGCATGAGTGTAATGGCCTGGACTGAGCATCAGCACAGAAGCAACACCATATACTTGGCACAATGTTTTGCTGGTATAATCCTTGAACTCAGTCCTAAACACTTATTTGCTGGCAAAGCAGTTCCTATGATTGGGTATTCAATCTATGGAACAACAGTCATTTTAGAGAATCTGCATTACAAGCTCCCCTCCCCTTGTTCCCTACTCCAAAGAGACTGGTGAGCTAAATGCCAGTGGAGCAGAAGTTTATGCTCCAAACAACTGGAATAAATGTTTAATAATATGCTGCTCATTAAGCAGTCACAGCCTCTAGGGCAGGGAATAATAGCTTTACTATCATTTCTGCACTGGGAATGCAACATGTAAAGGAAGAAAATGGTTTTATTAAAACACTACTGGAGGGCAAATGTTAGTGTGTATGGGGGGGTCATCATGACATTACAGTTATGGGAAGGCTCATACCAGTTGTAGGAGGCCATTCAGTGGAATGTGAATCGCAAAAAACAAATGGGCAAACTTATTAAAATCCACACATGAAACTCCCTTATCCTGAATTAGACCATTGGCCAATCAGGTCAGTATTGTCTATGTCGACCAGCAGCAACTCTCCAGGATCTCAGGCAGTGGTCTTTCACATCAGCTACAACCTGACCTTTTTTACTGGTGGTGTCGGGGACTGAAACTGGGACTTTTTGCAAGCAAAGCAGATGTCGCTCACTGAGCTGTGCCCCATCTATCATCCTCTGTATGCCGTTACACTTTGAATCTGCACAACTTGTGACCCACCAAGCCAAACACAGTCTAGCAGCCATTTATGAAAGTGCATCAGGGGCTCTTGTTGTTGATTATGTTGTTTTTACTGCCTGGGCTATGGGTAGATTATCATCAAAGACCTGGCAGGTCACCATACATGGTTGGTAAGATGTGATTGGTCTGCTCTTCATTCATACAGCCTTCCCATTTCCCTTCTCCTGTTGATTTGATTTTGTACTGTTGCATGTGTGTGCGTGCACACGGGCATGTTTGTGTGTGTGAACTGCTCTGGGTCCCATTGGTCCCATTTGGGGTGAAAGGCTAGATACAAATAATTTATAAATGAATTAATGAATGTACAAATACATAAATTGTGTTCACCCTACCTAGG